CAGCCAACAATGTATGTTTTAATCTCAGTTGCTTCTGTTCCCCATGCAGAGTTTTTCACCACTTCCTGCTCAGCCTTAACGTCCAGTCTGCACAGAAATTATTCCTTCAACACAACAGACTTTGTAAGAGGGAAAAAAGTGAAATTGGAGCTGGTGCTATCACAGGAAAAGAACAAATATACACCCAATGCTCTGCAGCAAGGAGTAGAATTGCTGGAGAAGCCCTTCTGAATCGGCAATGACTATCCCAACCCAGCAATTTATTCTTAAATCCAGTACTAAAACATAAGAATCATTGTTTACGCTGAAGATGGATGATGATGGATGAATCGAGACATTAATATTCCTTGTCTGAACAGATACAGGAAATACAGATGCACCAAATGATACCTCAAAATCCAATATCACAGAGTCGGTGTTCAATATCACAAGCTCAGTGTTCACAAACACCACAGCCATAGCTGTGCTGGTCAATACCATACTCTGAGCAAACACATTTGTCAAGACAAAGACAAATGAAAACCTGGGAGTTGAATAAGATACGCAAGATGAACTGGCAGTCAGTCATCAAGCTTAGTCACAGCAGCCCAGGATACCTCAGCAAATAACCTAGTTAAAAGGCAAAATATCCTTTTATTGATTCTTACTCAATAGCAAATGTGTTTTTACCTGTTTAATCCAGTTAGTTTATAATTAGCCACACAATAGCACAATTGCAAGCCTCCTGTTCTTGCTCTTGCTTTTTGAAATTGATTTCTCATTTGCTTCCCTTTGCAGGGCAATCAGAAAGCAGGTTAAGCTGCTCCATGAGCTCCTCAGGAAGTCAGCAGAAACACCCCCCTCATTATGAGAACAGGTTTCTGCCCGCCAGAGCAATCCTCAATGCAGCATCACAAGATGAGAACCACTGGCTTTGCCTGAGATGAGGTGCATGTACCTGCCTGCCATCCTGTCCCACGTTGGTCTGTCCTCTCACTACAGTTCGAATGCTGTCATCCAACTTCCTAGAGAAAAAAAAAAAAACAATCATGTCAAATCCATTCTCAATATGCCCAATCATCTTGGAACCTTGAGAGTTACAAAAGGGATTAAAAAACTGAAAGCTGCTGTTACCAACCAACACCATACTCATATTTCTTCCTCCCTCTTTCTCTCTGTGGGACATCAATATCTTACACAATTTGAAATTCCTGTTGCAAAAATAAAAACCAATTACCTAACTTAATTGAAGCTTCTAGCATTTCTCCTCCCTTAAGCAATACTGTTCATTGTTCCTTGTCAGTTTCAATTTCTTTTTTTTCACACAGTAAAGAGCAGTCTCAATTCTTTCAAGTTGGCAATGCCAAACTGCACAGAAAATCTAAGGTTTTTTTTCCTGCTGACATTTTATATTTACAGTATGAATAACAACAATAACCACATGAAAGGAGAGTTTTTAACAATGGCTATTTTGACCTCGCAAACAAAATAAACTTCTCAGCAACCAAATATTCTGGACAGTTTGTCCTTTCAACCTCCAAACTGTACTAAAATTTGGTACCTGTTGCTACCATTGCTTTTCAAAGGTCTACTTCACAACTCACCAGCTAAAATAACCTGAAGGGGACACATTACAAAGAGGAGCAAAATACAGAAAACTAAAATTAGTTATATAGTTCTGTCTCTTTCTCACTCTATTAGACTTGAGGTTGATCCTGTCCTTGTCTTTTAAGCAAATTAACTCAAATTAGCTACAGTATAGGCTATACTTATGAAGCCTTGGTGGCAACCAGAATACTCCACCTGAGATGCAATGAAATGGAGAAACACTTACCTTATTTTCAATCTGATTTTGTTGACAACTTCATCAATGTTTGCCAAAGACTACAAGAGGAAAAACCAAAAAGAATGTTACAAGGAGAAAACTTCTGACCCACATCAGCTGTGACACTTCACCCTTTCTCATGCACCACACTTTACAAAAAGGAGAGCAATGATTTTCACAGGTGGAGAAAAAGACACTGAACAATTTAGCTGCAGGGTGTCCCTGTGATTCCTGCTGTGTCTCAGCAGGAGCTGTCCTGAAATGCTGTGGTGACAGTGACCTCCAGTGGGCAGCACAGAGCTCTGGCCTTCCCTGGTCTCCTGCACTTAGATGCAGGAGGCTGCTGGAGATACAGGAGGTATTAATGGGAGGAAAAACAGCTCTCCACTGTCAAAGGGAAAAAGGATGAGCCAGCACAGACAGGAAACTAAACAGAGACAGCAGGAAGCCAAAGAGACAGCTTCTGAAGAAGGTCTTAAACATGGTAACACCTGCAATGGAACTGCCTCCCAGTCTAACCTTCAGCTGGGAAATACCTTATTTCACAAGTGCCCCTGGGGCTGATGTGGGGAAGACCAGGGGTGGATAAAGACCCTGTGGTCATCTCACTCTTTACATCTCAGAAGAAGAAACGGGTTTCAAACATGGATGACTCTTTGGTGACATACCACACCCAACAACTTCCTCATTTGGTGAAAAACACTGAGGATTCCTAACGATTAATACACAGCAAGTTGTGAGATGTACTGCCAAAGTATGTACAGAAAGCTAATTCATGCCTACAGATGGAAGCAAAACTTTTACTTCAGCAAACATAAAAAGAAACCGCATGAGTGAACATCATGAAACGCTAATTTAAGAAGTGATTATTGTCATAGTATTCCTACACACAGTAATGTTTAGAAGAAAAAACTGAGATATAGGTTTAAGCATGCCTTCAGGTTACCCTTCAAACTGAGGAGAGGGATGCTCTGTGAGCACAACTTACTTGCTCGGTGGGAAAGAGAGTGTTAATATACTCCACAGCATTGAAATCTGCTCTGTCCAGGGGGTCTTGGCTGGGAAATACCTGAAGGGTGAGAAGAGGGAAGAAAAAAAAACAATCAACAACACATCAACTTTAGTTTTTGTAACTTTATGGAGTACCCACTGCTTTATGGAGCACCGCTGGGCAAAAGCATCATTCTGACAAGGTTGCACAAACAGCAGTGCAGTGTTCTCCAGGGGTCCCCAACCTATTATAACACCTCATAACACAGAGATAATGTACATGCATGCTTCCAAAGCCAGCACAGGCATAATCCATCATGTACAAGAAACTCCCAGGACACACGAGCCATTTATTATGCATCTCAAAGCATTCCAATGCTTTTCTGTCGTCTGGAAGTGGCAGCCCTGCTGAGGCTTTGCCCTTCTCTCTGCCTGAGCTTTGGGGTCCCTGTGGTGACAGACAGGAGAGTTGCTTTTTGCAGTCATGTAATGCAAAACATGACAAATTGGGAAATGGTTGTACGAGTTGTCCAGAGACTTTGGGTTTGCCCCCCTCACATGAAAAAGGAGAGAAACAGAAACTGCTGAGTGATTCCTGCTGCCCATGAAAAAGGTAAGGGAGAAGATGTGGTGCAAACAGATCTCATCTGTCCTCAGAACACCTCAAACAATGCCGATGCAGCTGTCAGGCTTTGTTTGCTCTTTGTCCCCACAGACTAAAACATGCTGCATTCCCTTCCCTGGTACTGTATTTATTCCATGTCTACACAGCCATCAGTTCTGTTCTCTGAGGCCAAAACCACACCCAGTAAACACAGCAGCCCTCTGCAGGCAAAGCCTCCACAAAGCCCTGTGACCTGGGCACATGCATTGTTTACACTTTTAGAGAATAAAAGCAGTGTTTTTATGAGGATGCTTAAAGAAGAACCTGGAGGTGGTGAAGTCCCTATCTCTGGGGGTGTTTCAAAAGTGTGGGGATGTGGCACTGAGGGACATGGTCAGTGAACATGGTGGGATGGGCTGAGGTTGGACCTGGGGATCTGAGAGGTGTTTTCCAACCTGAATGATTCTGAGATTTATGACCTTACACAACCTACTGATGGAGTACTGCTGTCCCAGCTGTCCAACACAACAGCTGTGTGGTGGCCAAAGAGAAGCAGGAACCTGTTAAGTACACACAAGGTCATGCCTGAGTGAGGAAAGTGCTCTGACATCAGCCTGTTCTAAGAGCACAGATACAGTACCACAACCAGCCCTGCTCTGCACATCCCAAAGCTCCACAAACATTAACAGCAGCTGAAGCAAGGAGATGTAGAGGAGATAAAAGCCAGCAAGGATTTCACTTTCCAAACAGAAACAGACACCAATGCTGCCAGCAGCCACACTGGCTGGGAAAGCCACTGCTCCTACATCTTCACCACAACCCACCAACAGAAACCACTGCCCCAAGATTGCCAGCATGCTCCCACTTTGCTGAACAGAAGTCAGCAGGTGCTGCCCAAAGGGAATGCTCACAGCAGGACTGAAACACTGGGAGGGATAGGAAGCAATGGAAGGCGTTGCCATCCTCAGCAGGCCCTTCATTCAGTTACCCCGGAGGTAAGAACTACCCTGCAGCTCACTGCAAGGTATGCCGACCCCACGTGAAAACAACAGATGTGTGATTCGAGCCGTGAGGGTCAGAGATGTGGCTCCAGGGACACCGCAGGACACAGGGCTGCCACACGCTGCGCTCACCAAGGCCAAGGTCAGCCTGAATTTGGATGAGCCGCATCCTCTCGGCTTAAAAAAAGGCACTGAGAGCGAAGCCCAGCGTTACCAAGAGCCTCCCGGCCCCCAGCAGGGCGGAGCCGCCCCTCACACGCTGCTCACTGCGGCGGGGACCAACAGCGGGCCCAGCCCCACGCAGCAGGAGCCCGGCAGGCCCTCACCGGCGGCCTCCCGCTCCCCGCCCCGTGCAGAGCGGCTTCCCCAGCCCCGCACCTGCTCGATGGCGGCCTGCACGGCAGGAGCCAACTCCAGCGCCGCCTCCAACCCGGCCGCCAGCTCCAACTCGTCCTCCTCCATGGCGCCGCGCCGCTTCCGGGCCGCGAGGCACGCTGGGATGGGGGCGTGGCCTCGTGTCGGGCGTGGCCTATGGGAAAAGCCGCGTCTCCGAAAGGGGCGTGGCCTCGCGTCGGGGGGGCGGGGCTTGCTGGGGCGGGGCTCCCGCCGCCCGGCGCCGTGGTCCCGCGGCGGGCGGTGGCGGCAGCGCGGGCCCCATGTGGCGGACGTTGGCTGTCGCGTCCGCCTTCTTCCCGGGGCTGTTCGCGTTCTGCGTGCGGGCGCTGCGTTGGGCCGCGCCGGGATGGAGCCTCAAGGACCGCGTCCTGCTCAGCGGAAGGTACGGGGCGCGGGGTGCGGCGGGGCTGGGGGGCCGGAGGGATGGGCCCTGACCCGGTTGGCCCTGATTCGGTTCCCATCTGCCGTTTGCAGGCTGGTGTCGACGGTGCAGGCCACGATGGCCACGGTGTCGGGCCTGACCGTGGTGCTTAGCTGCGAGGATGTGGTGCACGACAGGTAACGGGGCGGGGAGGGCCCTTCCTGCCCTCCGGAATCGGTGCGGAAAGCCCATAGAAAACGGTCCCGAGGGCGTAACGGGGCCAGGCGGAGGGCGGCGGGAGCGCGGAGTGCGGCATCTCCGGCCCTGGGAATGAAGGAGATCCGGTGACAATGGAGCGGAGCGGGGCAGCTCCCGCTTCCTGCGCACAGAGCAGCCCGGGATGGGAAACCATTGCTGGGAAAAGGCACGGAGATGAAATGGGAAAAATCATCAGGCTGGGCTGCCCGTGCTGAGTGTGGGGACAGAACAACAGCGATGGCTTTTAAGCTATGGTCCGGAGCAGCAGAGCTGGACGTGGGGCGGTACCCGGCTGTGCAGGGTCCCATCTGCTGCTCAGTGTTGGACTCAGCCCTGCTGGATGCAGGCAGCCCCGCGCAGTACCAATAGTGCAGATGAGAAGCCCCAGCCCGGCTGCTACGGAGGCTGCTGGCTTTGTGCAAAAGCGCAGCCCGAGCCCCAGATTTCCTTTGAATCTGGAGGAGCTGCAGCTCCACACTCAGCAGGGGAGGGCTCAGAGAATGGCAGCGGGACAGGAAGCACCATGAAGGCTGCCAGCTTATTGACACAGGCAGAGAGCCGTCACATTGCTGGCACTGCCTCTGCCCTCCAAAACCCCCTGAAAAGTTCAGCCCTCCTGCTCTGCATCTCCAATAGCACTCTGAGCAGGAATGCGTGCAGGGGAATCCCTCTGGGATGGTAGGAGAGCAATGGAAGGCTCATTGGGCCCCAAGCAACGTTTCTCCAGCAGCAGTTCCCTACCAGCCCCATTCACGTGGTGTTTTCTGAGGCTGCCTGCAGAGCAGGGGTTACAGCTGCCACATTGTGCAACTGGGATTCCGACATTCTTTGGGAACAGGCATCTGCGTGCAATTATTTCCCAACAGACAAAACGTCTCCCAGGGATTTATTGCCGCTGTTACAGGCTTTGCTCTTCACTCTCCAAAGCCTGGGCATCTTTCATTAACTCTGCTCTCTGGGTGTGTTACAAACACTCACCTCTGGGTGGGCAGCTGACACAGACGGTCACAGTGTTGTTCCTACCATCAGACGCAGGGCGTAGGGCAAAGGATTACCTGCTGCAGAGCTGCCAGATGAGCACTGATCTGGGGAGGTGCCACAGCCCCAGCAAACACCTGCCCCAGGCTGAGGGTGCTCCTCACCTCGTGCTGTTTGCACTGTGCCTTTGCTCCTGACGCAGGGCTGATTGCACAGCTCAGGCAGGCACCAAACAGCACCGACTCGATAAAGGCAGCCGTGCCCCGCTCAGTGCCTGTGCTCTGGAATCACCCATTGTACCATTCCAGTTTCACGTAGCTTTTCTCTGGAATAGCTGAACTGATGGTCCTCGTCCAGATAAATCAGGGCACCAGGCACCCACCCAGCTCATTGATCATAGAGTTGTTAAGGTTGGAAAAGACTTCAACAATCAAGTCCAACCCCGACCCATCCTCACTGTGCCCACTGACCGCATCCCTCAGCACCACATCCCCACAGTTCCTGAACTCCTCCAGGGTTGGGGATTCCCCCCCCCTCCCTGAGCAGCTGTGCCACTGCCTGAACACACTTCCAGAGAATAAATTATCCTAATATTCAACCTGAACTTCTCCTGGCACACAGCGTGAGAACATTACCTCGTGGGCCTCCCAGACCCGTTGCTACACATCTGTGCTCTCCCTCCCTAGGCACTGGCTGGCTGTGGAGTACGTCTGGGTCCTGGTTCCCTACATGACCTACGACATCTACGTCATGTACCTCTGCCACTGGCACAAGAGCCGAGAGAAGGGCATAGCAGAGAGGAAGCACTCACTGACCAGTGTGCGGAGCTTCCTCCTGCAGGAGCGGCTGATGGTCACCCACCACCTCTTCATCCTCATCGTGCTCACCCCTGTCACCCAGGTGAGGGCCAGGCATGGATGTTGTGAATTCAGACAGGTGGGAACCCAATGCAGAGGGGACTGGGTGGGGATCATAAAATCATTTAAAGGCTGGAAAAGACTTCTAAGGTCACCGAGCCCAACCCCAGCCTATCCCACCATGCCCACTAACCACGTCCCGTGGTGCATATCTCCATGTTTCATAAACACCCCCAGGGCAAGGAACTGACATCAGTTGAGACTAAATACAGTGACCAAGAAGGAGCTTTCCTCAAGCTGTGTGTGTTCGGTCTGTGCCTGTTAGTTGGCTGGCATCACGATCAACACCCTTTCAGCTGACGTTGGAAAGCATCTCTGCTTGCCAGATGTGAGGTGCTCAGTGTCAGCTCCCAGCTCTCCTGAAAGCAGCAAGGTCTGTTAGCAGATCCCTTTGTATGAAACATGCCACAGTATGGAAGGCCCTGTTTTCACTCATGTTGTTATTTGCAGCACTTCAGGGGAGAGCTGGGGGATTTCTTCGTGGGCTGCATCTTCACAGCAGAGCTGAGCACTCCTTTTGTATCGCTGGGCAAAATCCTCATGCAGGTATGCGAGGAGGGTGGGTGCCTGGGTTCCTGCTGCCTCCAGGGGATTCTGGGAGCCTGTAGGGGTTTTCTCCCCTTCCCCACCCCAGGCAGTCCCCCTTGCATTGCTTACACAGCACGGACCTATGCTCGCCTTCTTCCTTTCCCAGCTGAAGATGCAGGACACGCTGCTGCACAAAGTGAACGGGATCCTCATCCTGGTGTCTTTCTTCCTCTGCCGTATTCTCCTCTTCCCCTTCATGTACGCAGCCTATGGCAGGCAGGTGGGAATCCCAGTTTACATGGTGCCTTTCCGCATCCCCCTGCACTGCAACATAGCCAACGCCTCCCTCATCGCCCCGCAGCTCTACTGGTTCACACTCATCTGCCGCAAAGCCGTCCGCCTCTACGGCAGCTCACCTGCTGACAAGAGCAGGTAATGGCTGGCAGAGCACGAAGGCTGGAGAAGGGTTGTTCCTTCCCCAGCTCTTCTGCCTGCAAAGTCAGCGCTGCAGGAACCATCGTGGGAGCACAGCAGCGTCGATACCACGAGGCAGCCCTGCTGTCAGCAGTGCCAGTCTCAGCTAGGGGGAACTTTCCTCCCACGCTGCTCCTGCATCTTGAGCAAGGAGGAGGTCTCCCCATAAGCATAACATTCCTTCTGGGGTTCAGTGCTCCGGCACCAAACTAATGGTTACATGAGAGGGGATTGTTACAGATCCCTCATCTTTCAGGGCTGATGGCAGCACAGTGAGGCATGGCACAAAGGAGCTTGTGGAGTGGATGCAGCAGTGTAGGCAATGCTGGAGCGTGCCCAGCCCCAAGCAGCAGTGTTGGGGTTGTGGGAGCTGTGTTCTGTCCCTGCTGGGCTCAGATCTGCTCCTCCAGCAGGGAGCAAAGCCAGGCCCCATGATTCTGCACAGCCTGTTCCCCAACAGTGCCTTTACACTACAGCTGCATTCAGCCTCTGACTTTCCCACACCTCGCTGCTGCTGGGCTCAAGCTCACCTGGGACTCTCCACTTAACTTAAAGGGGATTTTCAGTACCACTGTCTGATGTATGTGGCTGACAGGGTGTAGGGCAGCTCTGGAGCCCCCAGCAGGATCTGTGTCACAGCAAGCCAGGCAGGCAGAGGGCTATTGCTGAAGGGTAGGACAAGGGCAGGAGATTGCAAAGTCCCTATCCCACCAACGCAGAGCCCTTCCGTGGCAGGTGATGGCTGGTTTCAGCCCCCTTGCCTTGATGCAGTTGCATATGGGGATGCAATGCATCTGCCTCTTTACCTCTGTAAGGTAACTGAAAGCCCAACACGTTTCCTTGCCCCTGCTCTCCATTCAGCTGACACCAGCAGCACTCTGTGTGGGTACAACCTGAGCTCCAGCTGTCCCTCCTGCCCCATTCCAGTCCCCCCAAAGGGAGGCCTGCCTGAAGCTGGCAGGGAAGGAACTGGTCAGTGCATAAGGAACCAGCAACACCAGAAGAAATGAGTACTAACCAGCTCAGCCCATTTCCACCTTCAGTACAGTGAAAAAGGGGCAAGGCTTCTGTGCTCACCTTGCACCATGACTGCAGCGTGGAGTTATCAAGCCCAGCAGGTGTGTACAAGCTGGACAGCAGCCCTCCTTTCTCTGAACACAGCATAAAACTGAGCAGCTCCTGCACAAGCCTGGGGTTTCCTCTGTTCCAAGGCAGCCAGCTGCACCAGCAGTTGATAGACCAGCACCCACTCTGTGCCTTTCATTCTGTCTAAAAGCTAAATAGGATGGCTGGAAGAGATGCGAGTCTGGAAGTCTGGGAGAATCATTTCTTTTGGGTGTCAGATCTTGTCCCAGGCATGGCTGTGCAGACTGGAAAGAATAATAATAATTTTTAAAAAGCCTCTTCCAGCACACAGTCGGTTATTGCACAAGCACTACTGTTACATTAATCACTGAGACAAGCTGCTGTTATAAACCGCTTGCTACCCACTGCAAATATTTGTATATGGCTGTTTTTATTACAGATAACGTGCCTTATGTAAAGACAAAAAATCCACTGAGGCATCTCAGTTTGCACTAACACTGCCCTATTTACTCTGCACCTATCGGAAGAGATCAATAAAAGACTTCTTTCCTGAGTCACGCCACCGGATGCCTCCCTCCCACGTGCCATTCATTTCTGGGTGGGGAGGCACTTAGGCAGCAGTTTGCCACTGGGTACCACCCCAGGGCAGCAGCCCACACCTATTGCCCAAGGTGCCTGCTCATCCTGCAGAGCATCCTGCTCTGACACAAACAGCAGTGTGGCTGCAGTGAGGAGAGGGCAGCCCGACAGAAGTATTTCCCTGATGCCAGAGGGCTTTTTATGAGCTCTCTACAACTCCAGACCACTATTGGGAAAGGTTGGGGCCAAGGGACTGGCAGCTTGCAGCAGCAATAGTTGTCTACAGCTGCTTACATGGCTACTTTGCTGTTTAAACAGGCTTCGAGAGAACAGAGCAGGGAAGAAATGAGTTCAAAAGTGAAAAATAGCTGAGGTTTATTACAGATCTTACAGCTTTTCACATAGTGGTCCCTTGCAGCAGGGTCAGTGCTCTCCTCTGATTCTCCCTTTGACTCTTCAGGTTGTCCCTGGCCAAGTGGCCTGCTTAAGCACCCAGCTTGCTGAGCTTCTGCAGGAGGGGGCTGCACAGTGCCTTGTCACTGATGTTGTCAGTGATGGACTCCAGGAAGTGCCTCTCGTTGGCTCTCCTCAGCATGTTGCTGGGGGATGTATCTGCAGAGCTGAACACCTCGTACTGAGAAAGGACCTCCAAGGCCACCACCACCACCAGCTCAGTGCATCCACTATCTGGAGGCAGCATGGCTGCAACGTGCAGGAGGTGGCAAAACACCTGGATGCAGACAAAGGACACCTCCTCCGTGAAGCTCCTGTCCTCATTGGGGTGCAAGGGGGGCCCTGTGGCACTCTTGATGGAGCTCAGCAGGTCTGTGAGGCTGCTGCAGTACAGCTGGACCACGTGGAGCCAAGCCTGTGGTGGCAGCCAGGTAGAACAGCTGGAGCTGCAGAGGAGCTGGAAGCCCCGCAGGAAGAGCACAGAGAGCTGGAGGTGGCAGGCAAACGGCCGGAGGTTCAGCAGGGGCATGTACTGCACGTACTCCAGTGTGTATGGCACATGTAACACTTGCCTCTCCAGCAGGTTTGTGACCACGTGCACAAGCCTCTTCCATTCACTGTGGCTGCACCAAGGGAGGACCTGTATGAGAGCCACCAGGAAGCCTTTGCTGAAGAGATTCACTTCCTCAGGGTTGTCCACGTTGACCACGAGGAGTGAGAGCATCGTATCTTTGAGCTCAGTGGAAACACAGCAGCATTCCATCCATGCCAGCAGCCCGCTGCCTGGCCCATAGGCTGGCAAAGGCTGGGATGTCCATTCATCTTCAGGGAGCGTGCAGATCTCAAATAGCGTTGCTGGGACCTCGTTCTTGAAGTGCTCTCCATAAAACTTCTTCAGACGGAGACCAATGGTCCAATCCAGTGATGCCACCTTCCTGTGAAGCCAGGCCAGAGACTGGACCCAAACCTCTGGGGAGGAGGCAGTTTCTGGAGTCACTACCTCACAGAGCCAGCCGAGGACATTCAGCACCAGGTCTTTGATCTCCAGGGATGGGAAAAGCTGGTCCTTGGACTGGTGCCAGTACTTTGTGTAGCCATCTAGAAGCTTGCAGAGGCTGAGGAGAAGTGGGAACGGGTGGCAGGACTTGATCCAGTGTTCTTCTGGGTAGGACTGTATCTCCAAAACTTTACTGAGGATCTGCAGGCTCAGCTCAGTTTGAGCACAGTCTGATTTCAAATAGGGAAGGACAAAAGCTTTGGTCACTTCTGCAGGTGATACAAGTGGAGCAGCTGAACTTGGATGCATGAGAAGGGCCAAAAACTCAAGAAACTGCTCCTCCTCCCTTGCAGAGGAAAGCTTCTCCCATGCTGCTTCCTTCAGACATCGTACCACCAGGCTGTGTGGTGTGCCTGGATCATCATGCACCTCCAGGAAGTTCAGTGCTGGGAAAGAGCAGAGGATTTGTGCCAGCAACTGGTGAGCTCCTAGGTTGACTACAGCGAGACTACAAATCTGCTTCACAGTGGCCTCAGGGTGCAGCAGAGCAAGCCTAGCCACAGCAGCCACAGCCCTGGTAAGGCCTTCATCAGATACACTTTTGGTGATCTGGTTGAAAGTCACATTGAGGTCCTCCTGGAACCCATCCACAACAACCTGCAAGTTCAGGGAGAGCCCTGGCGCACCCCAAGCCTCCAGAACACCTGAGATCACTTCATTTTTGTCTGTTAAAGAAAGCTCACTGTAACACTCCACGATGGTTTTGGTCACTTGCATCTGCATCTCCTGGGCCCCCCTGTCTTTGGAGGATGTGGCAAAGTTCACCACAGTCTCCAGCAATTTCAAAACCAGCTCTGGTTTCTGGAAAAGAGCTCTGTTTTTCACAAGGCAGTCAACCCAGTCTTTTGAAAAGGCCCAGGTCTTTTCAGAAGCAAAAATGGAGCACATCTCCATGTGCCGGTTCAGCTTTTGCTCAATTATTATCATGGCAACTGAAGATGCAAGGCTGGTGTCCAAATCCTTGTTCTTCTGGGTGGTGCTGACCTCCTTGAGAAAGTCATCAATTGCCTGCGCCAGTTCTAATGCAACACGCATCTCGTCCTCACTCAGGTCTCCAGTATCAGAGAAGCAAACCAGGACCTTCCTGAAGGTGGGAAGAGTATCAAGGAGCCAGCAGCTCTCATAGCACTGATTCTCTGCACTTTTCAGGACGCCCTGCAGCTCCTCTCCCCAAGCACGCAACAAGCTGTGCAGAAACTCCAAACCAGCTATGAGTTCTTCACGTGACAGCTTAGCCATAGATGAGAAGCTCATGGTCCTCTCAGCTTCCTTCACTTTCTCATCCAGCCCGCTGTGGTGGTGCTGGCTTTCAGCATCACTGTTCCAAAGGCTGACCACCGTGCTGACCTTGGCCAGGTACTCTGCAACAGTGAGGGGGCTGCCCTGTGGCTCCAGCTCGGTGAACACAGACAGCAGCTCCACCAGGTTGCTCAGGGCGTAGCACTTCAGGCGTGGCGAGGCGATGCTCCCGTAGGTTTGCTTTAACCCCTCAATGAGCACCACGAGCAGGTCGTCAGCAGCAGCAGAGCCACTCAGAGAGCCGGGGTCCTCCTTGAACCGCTTCGGTGGCTGCAAGCCGTCATCCAGAGCTCGCTCGCAGCCGTGCTCACGCACGAGGGAGCCGAATGCGGCGACCGTGCCGTCCTCCGGATCCCGCCCTCGTCTCACCGCCTCCCACCACACATCCAGGAGGAATCTGACATCAGACGGGTCGGTCTCCTGCCCGACGTACCGCACCAGGCGCCGCAGCTCAGCCCGGCACACGGCGCGGGGCAGCGCCAGCAGCAGCTGCGCGA